TAATGATAATAATTTTTAAAAAAAGTATAGCTCTCAGTAACATATACACACACCTCTTTTCTGAGTAGCACAAACCTGGTATCAAAGGCACTAAGTTTTAATAAAAATGGTTAATTTTTACTTTTTTTTTATAATAGTATCCCCAGTGCTTATAGGATGTTTGTCCATTTCTAAGAAAATTAGGTTATAAATTATACATGTGGCATTATTCCCAATTGCGAAGACATGGAACCAACCTAGATGCCTATGGACAGATGTATGGATTGGAAAAGTGTGGCATAGATATGCTTTAAAATCGTAGTCAGCCTTGAAAATAACAAGACCCTGGCATTGATAGAAAGTAAATGAATACGGAAGATTCACTGCTAAGCAAAGCAGGCCAGACTATAAAAGAGAGGCATTGTATGCCCCCATTCAATATATATCAAGCATCTGCATTCTATAAACAGAAAGATTGGAAGATACTAAATCATGGAGAGCAATTGTGGATAATAGAGACAGTGTGGGAGGAGGGTGGGAAATGGGGGAGGGTGAGAGAAAGGGACTCAAGGGGAAAAGAAAGAAGCAAAGCATTTAAGAGACACAAAGATGGTGGGACACAGCAGGTGGTGTGGTGGTTAAAGGCACTGGATTCCCACATGGTCGACCGTGGTTCCAGTCCTGGACCTGGTGGCTTGCTTTCTCCCTTTCCCTTTCTCTCTCTCTCCGGTCAAATTAAAAAAAAATAATAATAATGCTAACAGCTGGAAATAAATAAATAAATAATTCTTTAAAAAAATGAAAATTATTTGTTGATAGCATGTATGGTAGTATCTTTGGGTATTCATGCTGGGAAAATTCATTTTGTATACTGTAATGATAAACAGTGACTGAAGGTATAAAAAAAAATAGTAAAAATAAGAATGTATATAATGAAAAATGCATGAAATTCAAACATTATTTGCACCAAAGTAAGCTTGTATTTATTTCCATTTTTCACAAACTATTTGAGTCCCTTGTATACAGTTTTGTCTACATGAATGATTACATCTGTACAGTAAATTCTATTTTTTTCGCTATAGGGCGCGTGCGTTTGCCAGACAGACAGAGAGAGACATAGAGACAGAAAGCGAGAAATCACCCCCCAGGGGGGATGGTCATGCTGCAATCCCTTCTCCTCCATTCTCCTCTGGGATCTTGGGCACGCACGCACACGCGCCTGGCATGAGTTTTAAGCCACCGGGTCCAGGACGCGAACCGCGGTCGACTGCGTGGGAGTCCAGCGACATAGCCATTATGCTAACTGCTGGTTCCCTGTACAGTAAATTCTTATAAGTAGAATTGCTCAGTTAGCATGTGAATGCATTTCAGTGTTTGATAGGTAATGCCAAATTGTTAAAAGGAGGTTATATATTTATCATTGCCTTTCAGATGAAAAAAAAAAAATCAGCCAGATTTCTTTAAAAATAAAAATACAGTACTAAACAAGATTTATTAGTGTTGAGGTATACTTGTTTAAAAAATTATGGTTTTCCTAATTTATAATTGATCATTATTGGTAGGTCTTTCACTATTGCACTCAAACATCCTTATCACTCTAGTGATTTTTGTATTCTTTTCACTTTCATATTAGCTCCAAAATAAGCTGTTAGTAGTCATTTCTGTTCAGCATCTAAAAAGCAGTTTTTCCTTTCTTGAGATATGAATCTCAGAACAGATTAAAAACCTCCTCTTTGTTTTAAAGTTTATGCTCTTATCCTTCATGCTGTATTGTCTCCCACAACTTGTTTAGAAAGGCAACCCAGAGAGTGAGTCTGATAAAATTTGCAAAGTTAGTTCATCTTTTAGTCCATTATTTCTTTACTCACAGAAATACTGGAGACTGGCCAATTTATAGAGAAATAATAGCTTATTGTCTCACAGTTCTGGTGACTGGAAAGTCCAAAAGCATAGGCCAGCATCAGGCTGATCTACAAAATGGCCAGTGAAAGCACAGAGGTTGGCAGATGCACGCAGAAAGAACAGGCTGTGGACAGCTCATTCTGCTTTTTTAGCAACCAGCTTTCATAAGAACTGGCCCCTTTTCATGAGAACTAGAACTCACCGGTTCTTGTAGAAGTCATTAATCTGTTCATGAAATTGCCGCTTCCATGATCCAGTCACTGCCCACTTGGCTTACCACCTCCCGACATCAAATTCCAGGCATGAAACCTTGGGGGACAAACCATTTTCTAAATCATAATAGTATATGTTGAATTTAAATAGCTAAAAGTCCAGGATATATGTATTTTGTATGCATCTTAGTACTCCTATAAGATCAGGTACATTGTCTGCATTAGGCCTTTGCAAAAGACATGAATTCCTGTCCACTCAGTGTCACAGAGAAAGTATGCAGCAGCACACTGCTCTAGGACTTTAGCGTCTTGATTTCTTTCTAATAGGAATTACTGTGAAACAACTGGGTAGTGGTTCTTTATGGTTATAGTTGTCACTTAGTGTCACACTCTTTTATTTGTCACCATTGTGTTTCAGTCTTTTTGAGAAGAGCCCATTGTAAGTTTTTTTTTTTTTTCCTATGATCTTTTATCAAACCACCTATCTTATTATTTTTTACAATATTACCATAAGGACTTGAAACAAACAAACAAACAACCTTCTTCAGTTCCCAAATCAATGCTACTGTAGAGGGGGGAGGAATGAAACTTTTTCTTTCCTTTCCTTTTTCTCTTCTCTTCTCTTCTCTTCTCTTCTCTTCTTTTCTTTTCTTTTCTTTTCTTTTCTTTTCTTTTTTTAATGTCCTGAAGAGCAGGAATTCTTGCAAGGCAAAACAAACAAACAAAAAAACAAGTCAAAAATGGGGTGTGTGTGGGGGGGGAGGGGGTGAATGGTTTACTCCCACAGTAACTGGACTGGGTGAGAGGAGAAGTAACAAAGGGAAGGAGCTGGTAGAAGCTGAGGTTGGAGAGGTGTAAGAGATCCCACTATGTAGGACATTGGCAGAATTTAGGGTTTTATTGAGGATATATCAAGCCTTGAGAGTATTTTAAGCAGTGGAGTGAAATGATCTAATTCGTGCCTTTAAAGGATCACTCTGGCAGCTCTGTGCTATCTGGAAAATGGACTGATTGAACAGAACTTTAAGGGAAGCAACAGTGACCAGTGAGCAAGCTCTTGTGGTAATGCAGACAGTGGGCTGCTCTCTTTGTGGTGATTCGGAAAAGGTGTCTGTGTGGTACACGGTGGTTGGTTCTTGAGGTCCTTTGAATATGGAGCCAACATAATGTGTTGATAGATGAGCTGTGGAGTGAAAGAGAAAGGCATTGGCGATGACCCTCTCCAGGTTTTTGAGCAGAAGTTTGGGACAGGAAATGGCGAAGTAGGAAATTGGGGGTGTGTTTGAGATGTGGAACATCCAAGTGGAGATTTTAAGCCAGCAGTGGAAATTATGAGACAGGAACTGGGTAAAGGCTCAGGCCAGTAGGTGAAAGGGAGAGACCCGAGACTGTAAGACTGAGTACAGATGCAGTCAGGGAGGCTGATAGAGGTGACGGCATGAGAGTGAGGAGTTTCTCTTCTGAGTGCTTCAGTTTTTAAAATATCGAAGAAACAAACAAGGCCATTAGCTTAGAACTGAGTAGGGAGGAGGGGTGTTGGAAGATTGAGGACCAAGAAGAAAGTTTGAAATGATGTTCTAGGGGAATGAGAGTTATTGAATTAGGGAAATAAAGTATACAGGTAGCAGTAAGGAGACTATCCTGACTTCAGAGTGAGACCAGGCAGCATCGTTAAATGTTTTGTTTTTGTTTCTCTCTAACCACTTCCTGCTGCCTTGATGTAGATATGGAGTTGATTTACCTAGGGTAGAATTTTGTCAGTTCTAATTGTAATAGAGAAAGACAAAGTAACTGTAAATTTAATCAGGTAAATGAATAAAAGGAGCCATGAAGCACAGTGAGCGCAGGAGAGAACTGAGTACAGAGGAAAGGTAGTGTAGTATAAAGGAGCGGTAGGCATGCCAGGTCAAATAGTCATAAATACTAATGTATACTCATCTTTATTGCAACCTTATGAAATGGGTACTGTTATTTTTATATTTAAGATTTTGCTATAGGATGTGTACGCTCATTGGTGAGAGACAGAGAGAGAGAGAAAGTGAGAAATAATCCTCTGGGCGGGGTGGTGGTGGGGGGGGTGACTACACTGCAGTCACTTCTCCGCGGGGTGGTGGTGGGGGGGTGACTACACTGCAGTCACTTCTCCATTCTTCTCTTGGGGTTTTGGGCATGTATGCACCTGTACCCAGCATACTTTCCAAGCCAGTGGGTCTGGGACTTGAACCACAGTCAGCCATGTGGGAGTCCAGCACCTTAACCACCATGCCATCTGCTGGCCCTTAGGTACTGTTATTTTACCCATTTGATAGATGGTGAAATTGAGCAACAGAGAGGTTAATTTCTCCAAAGTCATATAGGTATTATCTAGAGAAACTGGTACTTAACTCTTGGTGTGGCTCTAGATCCTGAGCTAGTATAAGCTAGTACCCTACCCTACCCTACCCTACCCTATCCTATCCTACAATTATTTGACCTGGCATGCCCACCACTCATTTATACTACACTACTTTTTCTCTGTTTTCAGTTCTCTCCTGTGCTCACTGTGCTTCATGCCTTCTTATATTCCTTTACCTGCTTAAATTTACAATTACTTTGTTTTTCTCTGTTACAATTAGAACTGACAAAATTCTACCGTAGGTAAATCAACCTGCTTACCAAGCTCATTAGAGAAAAGGAAGTAAAAATCTTGTAGGCTAGAGAATCTGTTTTCATGAAAATGTGTGTGTGTGTGTGTAGGTGGTGACCCAGAAGTTTGTGTATGTTGCAAAAACAGGAACAGATGGACCTTATGAAATGGGTACTGTTATTTTTATATTTAAGATTTTGCTATAGGGTGTGTACACACATATCTGCTGTCATGTGTTCAAACAGAAGGGGAAGTTAATGATATGAAAGTGGCAACCAGGTTCAGCCAGGTTCATATATCTTGTTAACTTCTGTTGCCTCCAGTGCTATCTATGGGAGAAAAAACCATATTAGGGGACAGCCAGCTTTCAACTAAAGGAAGAAAGGAATATTTGTAAAAGAGATTGAGGATAAGGATTGAAAATCTTGTTGATGCAGATTATGGGTTTCAGGAAGTTCTATGTAAAAGATTTAGAGAAGGCTGGAAATGAGATTAGATTAGGAACCATATAGGATGAGAGTTTTGGGATATTGGGTGGGGCTCTCAGGCTCAATGGGATTAATAGGGATGGGTTTTTTTTTTTTTTTTTTTTTTTTAGAAAAAGAAGATTTTATTACTCCCATCACAAAGGACAGGTCTTGGTAGGACAGAGAGTGTGTTCTGACAGTGGGAAAAAGGCTCTCTTTGCCAGCGATGAGTGGGTTCTGCAGGACCACGATGACCGAGTCCCCACGCAGAAACTTCTTGGAGATGTAGCGGTCCTTGTTGACTGGCTTGAACTTCTTCTTGCCTTTGCCACTCTTGGGAACCTCAGTCCACATCTCCTTCACGTTCTCCAGCGCCATGTTGCAGTGCCTGTCGAAGGCCTTCCCTCGGCCCAGGAGTTTCTTGTTGTTGCGGCAGTTGATGAGTACTTGGGTGTTGTTCTTGACTGACTGCGTGAGCACAGAGAGTGGACCCGTGTTAAATTCCTCCTCCTCCTCCCGCTTCTGCAGCTCCTCTGGAGTCATCTCACTCTTGGGCTTGTTGAGGAGGCTCTTGGTGGCGACGGCACACTAAAGTCACTCCTGTCTCTTCCGCATTGCTTCAGCCTCTAAGGAGAGCTAGAGAAGATAGAGATGGTTTTAAAAGCAGACTGTGACTATCTTGGGAGGAAGGAAGGAAATGTTGATTTTACCAAGAGTAATTTGTGGCTACTGTTCATGGCTGTGTCAAGGCTAGGGAAAATGTATTGTTATTAGCAACAGTCTCCAATAAGAATAATACCTAGAGATCCTTTGGGATATTCCTTTTTGAAACCTGTATAATATGAGTGAATGAGAGTCAGCAATTTTTATTATTTTGAGAAAGGCGGTTTAATAATTTGCCTAAATATGCTGAATATCTTTGTATCTCTTCACGGAACTTTCAAGTTTATTATCTTATTAATATAATTTCCTAGTGATTGACAAGTGAAATTAGTATCTTTAAACCTCAATTAAAGATAATTTGAAAGCACACAAGTTCTATTAACACTTACACTTCATTGTATGACTTATGCTCAGAATCTGTACAAGGCTTCCCATCTCACGTAAGTTAAAAGTCAAAATCCTTACAGTGGTCTCTAGATCCCTATGTATTTAGGGATCCTGAGATCCCATTACTTCTCCTCCATAACCAATATCACATCTGATTAGGTAGTGCCCTAATTACTGTTCCTTGAGTGTTCCAAGTGCATGATTCTGCCTCAGGGACTTTGTACTCTTGTATTCCAGGACTGTTCTTTCCTCAGATCCTCCCTTAGTTTCTTCAGGATTCTGTTCCCACATTTCCTTATCAAGGGACCTTCTCTGACCTGTGTAAATAGCAGTGTTTCTCTTCAGCATTCCCTATTACCGTACTTTATTTTCACAGCACTCATCACCACTTGTCATACATAGTCATCCCTCAGTCGCCACTGGGGATTGGTTCCAGGTCCTATCACAGATACCAAAATTTGCAGATGCTTGAATTACTTAAACAGCATGTATTTGCTTATAACCTGTCCATATCCTCCCATATACCTTTCTAAAACAATATTTACTTTTTATTTATTATTATTATTATTATTATTAAATTTGATGAGAAAGAGAGAGAAGGAAAGTGAGAAAACAAGCCATCCTCCAGGTCCAGGATTCAAACTGCAGTAAGGCATGTGGGAGACTACTAGCACGCCAACCACCATGCCCTGTCCCCCCATATACCTTCAACTGTCTCCAAATTACTTACAATACCTGCTACAATGTAAATGCCATGTAAATAGTTGTTATGTTCTATTATTTAAGGACTAATGATGAGGGAAAAAAGCCTATGTTAAGTACCGACAGCCATTTTTTTCTTATATTTTCAATCTGTAGTTGGTTGAACCTAAAATTACAGGAAGTTGACCACTGCATATTACTTAATTTATTCGGTGTGTTTTCTTTATCTTCTCACTGCAAAGTTCAAGCTCCTTTAGGGTAGAGATTATATTTATTTTATTCACTGATATATATCTAGAGAGAAAAAAATATCTGACTCACAATGAGTATTTGTTACTTGAATTAACAAATTAGGCACGTTAAGGCAATTAGTTTCAGAGATTTTAAGATTTATCTAACTTCTCTTGTTGTTAGAAGGAGAGACTAGAACCTTCTGATTCTTAGTACATTGCTTTTGACATTGCATTATGTGGCCGTGTATCACCTAATTTAACCTGTATTGCCTTTTTCTCCTAATGTAGATGCCAGAAGAAGAAGCTTTCTGTGTCTTTGTTAAATTAATGCAAGATTATAGACTTCGTGAACTTTTTAAACCAACCATGGCAGAACTGGGTCTTTGTATGTACCAGTTTGAATGCATGATACAGGTAAAAGTGCAATGTTGACAAAAAGGCATTTTGCCTTTTTATTTTTTTTTTTTCAGCTTGATCCGAGTGACTACTAAACAAATTTAATATTAAAAATGTTAGAGCAGTTGGGGGGGAAATCAGTTTTTAATCACGTGATAATTTGTTGGTTGGTTAACCACAACTAGATCTAAATTTGAGGCTGACTGCAGGTAGGTCGCAATCTGTAACCTGACTGCAGTTTTCATACTCACATCTTAAGTATTTGTGCCAGACATACCATGAACCTATTTCCTAAGCACAGGAGTTTCCTTATTAGGTCATATTACATTTTGTCATTGTTACATAGCCTGAGCTCTTAAGTCCATAGGTAAGATACTGTGATGCAGATGGCGGTCAGTTTACATGGAGTGTCTCTTCTGCTTCTTTCAGTCCTCTCTCCTGCCTTTCTCTTTTTGTATCTCTGTTTTGCTAGCCTGTAATCTTTCTGTTTGTGGAGAGATTTTTGCTATAGGGTTTGTGCACTTGCCAGAGACACAGAGAGAAACAGAGAGACAGAAAGCAAGAAATCACCCCTCAGGGGATGATTATACCACATTCTCTTCTCCATTCTCCTCTTGGGATTTTGGACACACATGCACAACACGCCTGGCATGAGTTTTTTTTAAGTCACTGGGTCCAAGACTCGAACCGTGGTCATCTATGTGGGAGTCCAGCGATGTAACTGTTACTTCATCTGCTAGTTGCGCCTGTAGTCTTTTTTTTGTAATTTTGTGTAACATCTCCATCATTTTTTGTTTAACACTCAGATTATCTAGTGACTGCATAATGGTAGAGAGAAGAGGAGTGGAGTAAAAATCAAGGGAAAAATCCCTTTCAAATATTTTTCCTTTCTGGATTTAATTTTTATGTTTTACACACATACACAGATACATACACATGCACGCACATGCACACACATGATACCTGATCCTTTTCTTTGTGTTTGGTATAGGCTAATCTAGCATATATAATGATCTGATTTAAAATATTCAGTTTTATGATGTTTAATTGTTTTTTTCTCTTTAGGAGCATCTTCCAGAGCTTTTTGTACACTTTCAGTCTCAGAGTTTTCATACCTCAATGTATGCATCATCCTGGTTTCTGACTATCTTTCTTACAACTTTTCCACTACCAATTGCAACAAGGATATTTGACATCTTTATGTCTGAGGTGAGTTATAGGGCAAACTAGGGGCAAGAGTTGAGTAAAACAGTCATCGGGTTAGTTAGAGCAGTGAGATGAGAACAATAGGGAAACCCATGCTAAACTGCTTACTAGGTAATCTCATTTAAACCATATAGCAACCCTATCAGGTAGAAACTCAGATATCCCCATCTGTTAGGTGGTTGATGAGGAAGCCGAGATTTAGATAAAGGTTATGTAGCTTATCTGTGGATTTAAGAGTACATAGGTATAGTAATCAGGACTCAAAAATTCTGGAGCCCACAGTCTTAACCTCTTTATCATCTCCTGACTGATACAGTCAGAGGTACAATTTTCCTTACAGTTAATACTGTTATTCAAATAAGAGATAATTAGTATAATTTTCTTCTACTCTGTGAACATATTTGCGGTTTGTCCTTTTTTTATTTTTTGAGAGATTTTCGCTATAGGGCGTGTGCACTCGCCAGACAGAGAGACATAGAGACAGAAAGCAAGAAATCACCCCCCGGGGGGATGGTCACGCCGTAATCCCTTCTCCTCCATTCTCCTCTCGGGATCTTGGGCATGCATGCACATGTGCCCGGCGTGAGTTTTAAGCCACCGGGTCCAGGACGTGAACTGCGGTCGACTACATGGGAGTCCAGCGACATAGCCGTTACGCTAACTGCTAGTTCCCTGCAGTTTGTCCTTTTAATTGTCAGTGTCATATATAATGAATTGTTGTCTTCTTTTGAGTTTTCTTTTTTTTTTTCTTAAGAACTATTTTATTTAACTTTATTTATTTATTTTTTTAATTTGACCAGAGAGGGACAGAGTGAGAGAGAGAGAGGGAGGGAGGGAGGGAGAGAGGGAGGGAGGGAAAGTGAGAATGCAAGCCACCAGGTCCAGGACTCAATCTGTGGTCTGCCATGTGGGAGTCCAATACCCTTAACCACTATGCCACCTGCTGGCCCCTTTTGGGTTCTGTTTTCTGAAGTCAGTATTAATTGCTGTTAATTACATCTTGGGAAGATCAGTTTGTGTTACTTATCTAAACTGGTTTAGATTGCCATTGACAAACCAATTGTATACCTGTTTACACTGGTTTGTGTGCCAGCTCTGTCCTTATCTCTTTGTTTAAATGTTTTTTGGGAACACAGCCCTTCCTGTTTATGTGTTATTGATATCTGCTTTTGGGCTACACTAGTAGTGTTGCATAGTTGTGACGACAGAGACCATGTGGCCCACCAAGCCTGTAATATCAGGTCATCGGAAAATCATGAGGTATTTTTCTATGCAAAAATGTGTCATGATGACCCAATACTCTCAGGTTCTTCACAGAAAATATTTGCCAGCTCCCTAGTTTAAATCCCTAAATGTTTGCCTTAGTGCTATTTTGAATGATTAGTTTTTGTCGATGGAAGAGTAATACAAATTTGGCTTTATTTAATGTTTCCTCAGGGTTTAGAAATAGTGTTTCGGGTAGGATTAGCGCTTCTTCAAATGAATCAGGCAGAACTAATGCAACTTGACATGGAAGGAATGTTACAGGTACGTCAGTTCACGATTTCTTGAATGTCTTTAGATGTTGCTGTTAATTAGTTAATAGCAAACAGCACTAAGTAGTTCTTAAGTTTTTCCTTTATTGTGTCTTAGCACTTTCAAAAGGTCATTCCACATCAGTTTGATGGTGGTCCAGACAAATTAATCCAAGCAGCTTACCAAGTGAAATACAACTCAAAAAAAATGAAAAAGTAAGTATTTTATTTTTTAAAATAATTTTTACGACAGCATCTCTTTGTGTGCAGTGCTGCTGCCTGACCCTCCTGTGTCACTCAGGCTAGGCTTACACCTCTTAGCTCCTCCATTAGGTTGGATTGAGAATCAAACCCGGGCCTCCCATGTGATCGCATCCTGAAAAGCACAGTGTCTTGAGCATATGTGACTGCCTCGGGGGCAAGTATAATGTTCATTATTAATTATAGGGGTTTGGTAAACCATATAGAAAATTCAGTG